AAAAAAAAAAAAAAAAAAACTAGACTGAAATTGTTTTATTTATGGCATGTTCGAATTAAAAAATCATTTTGTTTAAATTTTTTATTTTAAAAACAGAAAATACGGGAACATTTTTATAATCACTAATAATAATAAAAACTAAACATTTCCTTCACGACGATTATGGAGAAACTTTCTGATGTTAGAGAAACCAAGTCAATAGTCAAATCACTAGCTTCACATGAACTGCACCTACACGCTCCACACAAAATTATTTTTCCATGATGTCTAGTTCTCCTACGCATGGTTGACTTGAGAATCTTCCTTCAATATTTCATTCAAAATCAATACTAAAATTATATATAACTATATGTTAAATATAATGACATTTTTTATATAACATTTATATCTAGATTTTGTTGGTATATTTTTATATACTTTTTAGTATAGTATTTTCAATTCTTCAGATTTAGTTTAAACTTTGTTAAATAATAATTATAAATAGAAGTATTATTATAGATCAAAATAATGAAATGTTTATCTATGTCTATATTATATATAAAAGAGGAGTTATCTAGATATAGTCTTTATTTGACGTTGTCGATATTATAATACTCATGCACAAATGTGAGGTCAGCCCAAGTTTAGTTGACCAAAATCAACACAGTAAAAAAATAATAAAATAAAATAAAAACCTAATAGAGTAATAGGGCATTCTATAGGTTGATTTATGAAAGAGAGGTTTTTGAGAGTAAAAGAATTGTTGCACTACATACTTCAGTTGGTCAGTGAAGAAATCTCAAGACTTGTGATTAAATGTTTAATCATAATAATTTTAACTTGATCTATAACTACGATTTATTCATTCAAATTAATTTGGAAACCCTTTTATTCATCTCCCTTTAACTAAATAATCTTTAAAAAAAAAGTTTAGTGAAAAAGGTTTTGAATATAACTAACTCAATTCACCCCGTTTTAAATTATTATTAAATTATTGAAGTCACTTGGTTAATAATCAAGTTTGTCTCTAATACATATATAACATAAACATTCTTATGACAAATACACATTTAATAAGTTAGAAACTTCTAAAATAAGTTCATATGCTGGATAAATTTATTTTAGTTAAATTAACTAATAAATTAATCAAATTAACTTATAAACTCTCCTAATAATTTCCTAAACTCACTCTTAATAAAATTAGATGTGAATTGCATGATTAAAAGTAAATTAAGATTGAACTGAATTATATTAGAGAATAATTGGAAGGATTTCGAACCTACTCTTTTTCTTCTTCTTTTGATCTTAATTAAAATATAAAGCAAAAATGTTTATCATTTGTTGCTCAAATTTCTATTATTATTTCTTCGATCAAAGGCGTTATTGGTTTTATTTCATTAATTTTTTTTTCTCTGAACAGCATGATTTCATTAATTGTTTAACAGCAATCTTTTTGTAAACAATCCTTTACTCATTGCTTTAATAATTGATGACAGATATAGTTATCGTGTCATCCAATAAAAGCCATATCTATTATAAATTTCAATTAGTTAGTGCTATAAAAATTGAATAACATATAAAAAAGGAAATGACATATAAAACAGAGGGAAAAAATAAAAACAGAAAAATAAGTTGTATGACTTCTGAATGGCACACGTGGGGGGATTCCTTATACCCCTCACTCAATCACTTCTCATGCATTCCCCACCCACCCTACACTCGGTACCCCATCCCTATAAATGTACCCAACCTTATTTCTACTTTTTGTATCCCACGTCATAACCATGTTATGTTATGTACCCTTATTAATGTGAGAATAGCTTCTTCACGTCTCTACTTTTCTTTTCTCTTTTCATTATATTTCATTTTCCCCGTAATCATTGTGTCACATCAATAAAAATTCATCACCCAAAAAACATTAAAAATAAAAATAAAAAGTCACAAAATTAATGTTGTTATGCGGGTTTAGTCTTATTTACCCCTCCATAGGTAAAGAGTTGTCTTATATGTTCAAGTTTTCAAATGTTAAATTACTGTGTAGAGTTTTATCTTAGTAGAGTTACCTGATCAGAAGGCTTATCTGGAGCAGAAATGTGAAACAATAATTTTTTAGTTCTAATTTAACACCATTTTCTAAAAAATATAAGACAGTGTACATGTTTAAAATTACGATGATTAGTTTGGAATTTGATAAAGGTTGCTTTGGGGCGAGGGCTTTACATTTAAAAATTTTTTTGTTACGGTGATTGAGGGATGTTTAGATAAAATAATTGGTAAATCATTGCTTTTATATAAAAACATGAGTATCAATCTGGGACTGTGTTTGCTTCTAGGATACGTTTGGGGAGCTCAATGTAGGGACAAAAATAAAATAAGAAAATAAAAATTAATTTTGTCTTGTCGCGATACGTCACCTTCTTCTCTTACAAGCCCAGTCTATAAATTGACCACTGTCACCGGTCCACGCTACTTATCTCATATTTATGCCAGGTCAATTTCTAATTTTCTATAAATTAATATTTCCCACTTTTTATTTATTTATTTTTATTCCCCTCGTTGCCTTCTAATTCATTTGTTTATTCTCTTTGCAATGCAGTTGCATGCCACATCCACCCTGCATCGTAAAACCTAATCTTTCTTTTTTAAGGTGGGTCTTTTTTAGTGTTTATTTCCTTTCTTGTTCCCAATTGCATGTGAATATGCACTAAAACCACCCATTATATTATTCAACAATAATTTCCCTAAGGATGTTGTGTATCAACAGTCACTATATCCTTTTTTTCTTGATTGTTGGTTTAAATCGTAATGTTAGTTACATACTTGATCATTGAATTTGAAACTAAACCCTGCTTACCAAGGGGATTTAACTTAGTTGATTGTGAGTAGAGTGTTTATTTAACTTAGTTTGAAAGAAAAACTAATTTTAGAATAAGTTTACATTCCCCCGTTTTTTTTTTTTTTTTTTTTCTTGGTGTTGTTGGTACGTGGTACTACCCTATATCAGTTTTATTTTTCTTGTATTTAAAAGATACGAAAACAAATAGAATATTACAAAAAATGGGGCTGGTTGGCGTACATCTGGGTTCGTGTTATCGGTGACAAGTAACAGCACCTCCATTATTGGCGGGTCATAAGCTGAAAAATAAATGGTTAATTGGTGGCATTAGTGGTTGCTCAAACCCTCATGATTCATGTATATTTGATACAAGATTTCTTACCCCACCTAACCGTTACTTTTCATTACAAATGACCCACTTGGAGTGACCAACTTATCCTTTTTCATGACACAATTTTAAAAATAATGGAACCAAATCTTTATCATCATTTTTTCCCTCTCAATCTGTGGGAAGACTTTCTAGAAGATTGACATAATTTAAGGCAACACAAGCTCCGGCATTTAGCTAAATCCAACTCGTGAGTGTCCATGAAGCTTCGCATTGGATTTTTTTTTAACAACGCATTACACATCATCATTTTAAATTAATTTGGCGTTTCGGGTCAGTTTTCAAAGCCTAACATAAAGTTAAAATGAATGTGCTCGTTGCACATGGATCAGTCAAGTCAAAAATAAAAAACATTTAAGTTAGATTGGCTTTGCTCTGAGTATTCAAATTCAACCCCCTCTCTTAGGAGAAGATATGATATTATAAATATTTTTCTTGCAAAAGAGTAACTCCTTGGTGGGAGTCAAGTATATAAAGAGACAAAGATTCATAATTTTTAATACTATTAGTTACTATCTTCTTTTCTTCATTATATCTGGAATCCAATAAACACATTCACACCCTTCACTATCTTCTTTCGGCTAGAGTGAGGGAATTTTTTGTAGTTAACAAATTTGACAATTACAATAAAATAAAATAAATTGGCGCAATTGATCAAATATTGGCGTGCTTAATTTTGTGATACATCTTAATCGAATATTTTTTAGCATTCAGATTTTGCGTATAATGTATAACATTGAAAAAAGCAGGACATTGCATAAATGGTGAAAGAAAAGGAACAACCCATGATCGACTTGATGTTGGTGTAGTTTTAATTTATTAATGACCGAGTAGAAGTTTTCCTCTGAACTTTCGTGGGCTATTATTCTGTGTTGTATTATTTTGTATTTGCATCTGAGCAAACGCTGACATTGGTCTACTTTTCGTTGGTCAATGGTGCCTACCGACACCTTTATTTAACTGGGAATGTTTTGCAGAAGAAATTTCTAATCCAAAACGTTATCTTCCCATTCATACGCTAGCTCAGATTCATAATTTAAAAGATAGGGAAAATAATGTACAAGTACCACTTCTTCATCATCAACATCAATTAATGAACTGGCATGTCATTTCGTTTTCTGTTAGTTCTATAATCAGTCTCATTTGGAAGTATTTTTTCGTCTTTTTGTTGGTAAAACTAAAAGATAATATTAACACTAAGATAAACAAACATACATAGTAATATTAATATAAGTATAAATCATATGGGTGTGGGGGATATTTTCCCTTTTTACCTTGCTTATGAAATGACAGAGTTATTTGATTGGTTTGACATACTATTATAATTATGTAATGGGCATTAAAGGTATCATCATCATAATGGTTATGTGAGTCCCACTTGAAATGCAGAATGGCGTTGGAAATGTTCCAAATCCATGGCTTTTAGTGATAAAGATTAGATAAAACAAACACCGATGATGAGAAAGAGTGATCATGTGATCTTGTCACTACCTAAATTTGTTAAGCCTACACTAATTCAGTTTTATTCTCCTCACCAGCCAACAGTTCTCGCTTAAAATAATAATAATTAATTAATATTTGATTATTTTTTACATTTCTGTTTTGGAAAAATCACTTTTAGGTGGAACTATGGACCTACCAATACTTACCAGAAAAGCCCGATGCTTTGAAAATCCAAATCTTAACATGCATAATCTAATCTTAATCACAAATCACGACTACAAGCTACCTATAATATAGATCCTAGCTGCTAAATCAAAACTTTTTGCTCCACTACCATTTGTTAAACCTTTCTCGCTCTTTAAACATCATTTTTTTCCTTTGAATAACAAACAATCATCCTTTTTATGAGGTCTACAATGTCTTGGTTTTTTTTTTTTTTTTTTTTTTTTTTTTTTTT